ATGGCTAAGAGGCAAAACTGGTCGTATTTAATCGATTATATTTCAAGATAATCGATTATTTCAATATCAGACAGCTTTAATCGATTATTTCCAGTAAATAATCGATTATCAGAGGCATTTAATCAATTATTTCACGAGATAATCGATTATTCCAGAGGAGAATACCCTGTTTTGGACGTTTTGATGAAAAATAATCGATTATCACATCCAGTAATCGATTATTCCAGAGGCTATATCAAGTTTTTAAGGTTTTTACACATTATAAGCTATGAATATCCTATATCACGAATTTAATCATAACAATCATCCAAAAACAGTCAAATTAAGCAGAATTTAAGCTACTTCTAGTATCCCTAAGTCTCTTCTAAGATCATAGAATCTATCCTTGGGTAGAGGCTCAGTAAATATATCTGCTAATTGACGTTTAGTGTCCACATACTCTATCTTACAGTTTCCTTTGCTGATATTATCTCTTAAAAAGTGATGTCTAATCTCAATATGTTTAGTCCTAGAGTGCATTATCTGGATTTTTAGTTAAGTGGATTGCACTCGTATTATCACACATTAATGGAATGTCATTTAAATATATGCTATAATCCTCTAATTGTTGTTTCATCCACAGAATTTGAGCACAACAACTACCAATATCAATAAATTCGACTTCAGTGGTAGATAAAGCAACACATGCTTGTTTCTTAGAATGCCATGATATTAAGGATGAACCTAACAAATGACATGTCCCACTAGTGCTTTTCCTATCAATTTTACATCCACCATAATCGGCATCAGAATATCCTAATAAACTAATACGAGCATCAGACGGATACCACAAGCCAAACCCAGTAGTTCCTTTTAAGTATTTTAAAATATGTTTTACTGCAATTAAATGAGATTCTTTAGGACAAGTCCGAAATCTAGCACACACACGAGCAGAATGCATAATATCAGTGTCTACTAGCGGTTAAGTATAATAGTGATCCTATCATACCTCTATACATAGTTTGATTAACTTCCAAACCTGATTCATCCTTGTCTAAATAGCATGATGTTCCCATGGGTGTGTTAGCTTCCTTTGAGGTGTCCATACCAAACTTTTTGAGAATCTCTTTGCGGTATTTAGTTTGAGAGATGAAAGTGCCATCTTTAAGTTGCTTGATTTGAAGTCCAAGGAAGAATGTTAATTATCCCATCATAGACATTTCAAACTCTCCTCGCATAATCTTAGCAAATTCTACACATAACAAACTATCGGTTGATCCAATAATATATCAACAAGTATCACATCCTTGATCTCCAAAGTGTTTGCATCGCGATTGCTTGATTGATTGCTAAAGGATGTGTGAAAACTTATATTCAATGTGTGTTTAAAAAGTTCAAGCTAAACTTGTTTTTATAGAGGATTTTCAAAGCTGCTGGTTTAATTAATCTGTTAAAAGATTCTTTTAATCTATTAAAAGTGCAGTTTTAATCTGTTAAAACGTCTTTTAATCGATTGAAACGCGAGTGTAGAAAAATTTTTTAAGTTGTTTTAATCGATTGAAATGAGTTTTTAATCGATTAAAAAAGTTCTGATCGGTCATAACTAAATTCGATCGATCATAAGCTGATTCCGATAGGTCATAATAAAAATCTGATCGATCATCCGACCCTTTAAGTGATTTTAATCGATTGAAAGCGTGTTTTAATCGATTGAAAAAATTCTGACCAGCTCATAATTAAAATCTGATCGATCATATTTGCTTCTAATCGGTCATAATTTGATTCTGATCGATCATCCTGACCCTTTAAGTAATTTTAATCGATTGAAACGTGTTTTTAATCGATTTAAAGGATTCTGACAGCTCATAATAAAAATCTGATCGATCATAATGAGTTCTAAATGGTTTTAATCGATTAAAAACATGTTGTATCGATTAAAATGCTGTAAAAACACTTCTTTGACCATTCTAATTGATTTTATTTGGTTCTTTCAAAGCTGCATCGAGTTAAAACCATGTTTTAAGAAGGCTTTTGTAAAAATACTTTGTTTTAGGTTGTTTAAAACAATTTTAGAGGCTTTTCGCAAAAAATCTTTAAGTGAAGAACCTTCATACAATAGAAAAGATAAAATGTTGTTACCTAAGCATTCCATTTAAAACATACTAAATGATCCATTTTCTTTGAATAAATACAATATACAAATAGTTCATTTAACTATAGGAACCCAAACATATTTTCCTTTAGGAACACCAAAATGTTTGATTTTACACTTATTTGAAGTGTGACCTTGTTTCATGCAATAAAAACATGCTTTTGATGTAGCTATGGAATAAGATGCATTATTTACATGACATGCTCTAGTTCCTTTTTCTACCCATACTCTTTTCTTTTTAGTTTTACTCTTTTTCAAAGGAACTCTTTGATTTACATTATTTTGAGCAATTACCATTTCATGCTTCTTAAGATCATCAATTTCTTTTTCGGCTTTGTCAAGCAAATGGTTAAGAATATCTATGTCATATTCATGCTCTTTACAATTTGCACAAGCTAAGTCCTTATTCTCATCTAAGCATACAATTTTCGTATTAGCTACCTCCTTTTCTTCTAAACATGCAATTTTCAATTTTAAGGACTCATTTTCCTTTTCGGATTTTCTTAGATTTTTCTTTACAACTTTATATTCTTTTTTCATTTCCATAAATGCAGTAAATAACTCATTATAAGCATTTTGCAATTCATCATGGTCATTTTCTTCACTAGAGGATGAATCGGAATCACTAACCTCAAAATCTGAAGAAATGTTGTCATTTGCCATCAAGCAAATGTTTGCTTCAATTTCGAGTCGCTTGATTCTGAATTTGAATCACTGTCATCCCAAGCAATATATGCTTTCTTCTTGAATTGCTTTTTGCCCTTGTGTTCATCATTTTTCTTGTTTGGGCATTCGATCTTCATATGCCCCGCTTCACCACAACCAAAGCATTTTATATTAACGGAAGAATTTTCTTTTACCTTTTCCTTACCTTTGAAAGGATGTCTTCCTTTTGCTTTCATCATCTTGGTGAACTTCTTTATAAAAAGACTCATCTCTTCTTCATCAATTTCGGAGTCTTCTTCTTCTTCTTTCTTATTTTTGCTTTTTGAAATCTCGGTCTTGAAAGCTAGGTTCCTCTTTTGATATTGACCCTCTTCCTCATTTAGTCTTCCAAGGTCAAGTTCATGCTCCCTAAGCTTTCCAAACAACGCCGCCATAGACATAGTGGCAAGATTTTGTGACTCCGAGATGACCGTCACCTTTGGTTGCCATTTCCTATCCGAGAGATTTCAAAATTTTAACATTTAATTCATCAACGTCAAAAATTTTACCTAGTCCGGTGAGATGGTTCACGATATGAGTGAAACGTTTACGTACGTCAAATATCGTTTCGCCTGGTTGCATCCGGAACATTTCGTACTCTTGAATTAGAGAATTTTTACGCGCTCTTTTGACGTCGTCGGTTCCTTCGTGGGTCACCCTTAGCATTTCCCACATTTCCGTGCACTTTTACAAGCCGAAATTCTATAAAACTCATCAAGGGTTAGAGCGAGATGAAATAATGTTTCTAGCCCTAACATCAAATTGTGCTTTTCGACTTTCGTCTACAGTCCATCTAGAAATAGGTTTAAGAACGTCAACACCGTTCTCGTAATTTTAGGAACAAATGGACCGTTTAAAATTGCGTCCCAAACGCCTCTATCAACGAGACTCTAAAAATATTTGCATACGTACTTTCCAAAAAGGATAATTTTGACCCGCAAAAAGTGGGGGTACTGTTGATAGACGCACCTTCGGCAAAAGTTTGATTTTGTCCAGGCCATTTTCGAAAAGTTTGAATGACTATCAAAGCAAGCTACGATACCACTTGTTAGAATCGCCCAGCGGAATGTTCGCGTGGTCGGACAAAAACCAAGAGGGGGTGAATTGGTTTCTTAATAAAAATTAGGTTTTCAAAATTTTCCCAAATTTTACCGATTAAAAGCTAGCGTAAATGTAAATAGAGAAGAGTAGAGAAGATTACACGGTAGGTTTATACTTGGTTTGGATCAAAAGACCCTACGTCCAGGTTGCTAATCACTCAAAAGAGGATTAACAGCTGTCACTAAGAACAAATTGTTACAAACAGATTACAAATGAAAAGATAAAGATACGAAAACACCTCTCTTGAAATCCACAAGAGATGAAGAACAGACTTTCCCTAGAGACGGCACGAGCACACAATCCACTAAGAACTCCACTTAGTGATTCTTATCGCTTCTAGCCTCACACCAGGTTCCAAAAGCCCCCTTTCCTTGCAACAAACAGTTCTCCGGCACTCACAACACTTAACTTTTGTATGGAAATAGTTGTTCTTATTTTACGAGTGCCAAGCGAGTTTAAGTAGGGAAATTAGGGTTTAGGAATTGGGGATTTCGAAACTAGGGTTCTTGGTAATTGGGTTTTCGAAAATAGGGTTAATTTGAAATTTAAATTGAAAAACAGATGAAATAATCGATTATTTGGAGTGATAATCGATTAAAACAGAAGCCAAATACGTCGGAACCCAAACCTCTCTGGAATAATCGATTATTTGGTGAAATAATCGATTATCCGTACTGAACGAGTACAAAACAATCGATTATTTTGTTGTTTTAATCGATTAAAACGGTGAGTTTGTATAGAAAGTGTTTTCTCACTTGTTTTAATCGATTATTTACCTATATAATCGATTAAAGCCGAGCCTGCATGATAAATTTGAGCATTTTGAAGCTTCTAAGTTACGGACTATGTACCAGCTATCTTAGACTCTAAAAATACAGACTCAATCTTAAATAAAACAGAGTTATTACAATACAATTATCACCAATCTTCAATCTTCAATATTCTAAGTCTTTAGTTCTTGGATCATCATCAAAATCCATTCTTCATATTCATCAAGTGCAACATCAAGTCCTTGAATTGTCAACAAGGATAAGCGCTATCCATTGAGTAAAGGGAGGGTTTCCTACACTATAGTGATTCGGGCGGTTGGTGGCCCCTTCGAGAGTTGAGGGTCCTTGCCGCTGCATGAGTGGTAGCTCACGCTCAAAACTCCTCCGACAGAAGAGCGGATCCAATACACAGACAACTTCTTTCTCAAAACAAAAAAAAAGTACTTGCTGCACTTCTTTCTCATGAAGCTGCTTTGCAAGAAAGGAGTTAGTTCCCTCCGGGGGTTCTGAGAGCCAATGCTTCCTACGCTCCAGCCCTTAGCCCTGAACTCCTTAGCACAAGCACTAAGTAAGCCCGTGAAGGCCTTCAATATCGCACCTACTAGGACTGAAATTTCGTTTTCGAAGAGGACTACTTCTTTCTTTTCTGTACGCTAGGGTCGTTCGGGCGGAAAACTGAGTTGCGTACTGGGTGAAGCTTAGTCCTTTGGACCTTTCAATCTCGCAACTTTTTTAGATTAGCTAGGGCCGCCCGCATGCTTGAAGGGTTGTTGAAGGTATTGCACGCGCAAAGCGCTCCACCTGAGTTATAGCGGGTATTTAATCTCAAATCTGCGATAAATGCGAAGACTCTTTATGTGTAGAATTTGCTAAGATAATGCAGGGAGAGTTTGAAATGTCTATGATGGGAGAATTGACATTCTTCCTTGGACTACAAATCAAGCAACTTAAAGATGACATTTTCATCTCTCAAACCAAATACTGCAAAGAGATCCTTAAAAAGTTTGGAATGGACACCTCAAAGGAAGCTAACACACCCATGGGAACTTCATGCTATCTAGACAAGGATGAATCAAGTTTGGAAGTTAATCAAACTATGTATAGAGGTTTGATAGGATCACTGTTATACTTAACTGCAAATAGACCTGAAATTATGCATTTTGTCTGTGTGTGTGCTAGATTTCAGGCTTGTCCTAAAGAATCTCATCTAATTGCAGTGAAACATATTTTAAAATACTTAAAAGGAACTACTGGTTTTGGTTTGTGGTATCCGTCTGATGCTTGTATGAGTTTAATAGGATATTCTGATGCTGATTATGGTGGATGTAAAATTGATAGGAAAAGTACTAGTGGGACATGTCATTTGTTAGGTTCATCCTTAATATCCTGGCATTCTAAGAAACAGGCATGTGTTGTTTTATCTACCACTGAAGCTGAATATATTGCAGCTGGTAGTTGTTGTGCTCAAATTCTGTGGATGAAACAACAGTTAGAAGATTATAGTATCTTTTTAAATGACATTCCGTTGATGTGTGATAATACGAGTGCAATAAATCTTACTAAGAATCCAGTAATGCACTCTAGGACTAAACATATAGAAATAAGACATCACTTTTTGAGAGATCATATCAGCAAAGGAAACTGTAAAATAGAGTATGTAGATACCAAACGTCAATTAGCAGATATTTTTACTAAGCCTCTACCCAATGATAGATTCTATGATCTTAGAAGAGACTTAGGGATATTAGAAATAGCTTAAATTCTGCTTAATTTGACTGTTTTTGGATGGTTGTAATGTTATAATTCATTCTGTAGGATGTTCATAGGTTATCATGTGTTCAAACACTCAAAAAGGGCATTCCTCTCTGGAATAATCGATTAATTGGAGTAATAATCGATTATTTGCATCCAAAACACTTAAAACAGGGTATTCCTCTCTGGAATAATCGATTAATTCGTCCATTAATCGATTAAAACCAGTAATAATCGATTAACAACCCAAAATAATCGATTAAACGGGTCTGGAAGTGATTTAATCGATTAATTTGAATTTTAATCGATTAAATCCGACCAAGTTTGCTTCCTAGCCGTTGCCAACGGATATTTTGACCATTATTCCCTTCCATATGAACGTTGGAGATGCTTGGTTATAAATAGGGACCTTCATTTCACTTCTACTCACTTCTATCTCTTGAAATCAAGTTATCTTGCCTTATTCTAGCTACCTTGCCCTCTTCTCACTACACTTAGCTTTCTAAATCTTCTTGTTATTCTTCTAATCTTTCAATGGCCTCATCTTATCGTGCTAAGATCCCTACTAGAAGAAGATCTGCACCCTCATCTCGACCCCATCCTAATTCTGTAGAAGGATGGATTTCTGATACAGATGGCCAACAAGAATTTCTAACCTACTGGAAGGAACGGGCTATTATTTCTCCCAAGTTTCTTATTGGTGAGCAATTCATCAATAGGGGATTCAATTTTCCCAACCTTCTTGAAATTCAAGGAGTTCTTCCCTTCATTCAAATGCAAGGTACGTATTATCCTGAACTTGTTAGGGTATTTTACTCTAGATTTAAATTTAGAGATCAAATTGCTACCTCTAGAGTAAAAGGCGTCACAATTATTCTCGACGATGATATTTGGGAAAATGTCGCTCACTTTCCAATTAGAGAAGATGCTATTAACATTTATGGTGAGTTAGATGACTTTGACAGGTTTTTAGCTTACCGTTCTTTTATGCGAAATCCCTCCATGGAGATTGGCGTCTCCTTCATGCTGGACCTTTAAAGAAGGAGGAACGCATGATTCTCCATCTAATTGTTTGGATCCTATGTCCTCGAGCTACAAATCATGCCCAATGTTCTTCAATTGATCTTAGAATTATTCATGCCATAATGAATAATGAACCGTTAGATTGGGGCGTTCTTGTCACAATGACCATGTTAAAAGCAAAACGTCATCCCACATTCAAAATTCCATATGCTTTTCTTGTCTCTCATATTCTTGAATATAAAGGAGTGAATGTTGAAGGTGAACAAGCAGTTAGAACCAATAACTTGAACCGCATGCTGGACAACACATTGATTCAACTCCAAATGGTGCGTGTCAATGATATTTATGTTCACAAAGATGACGTTCCTAATCAAGGTGATGCTAATGAAGATTCTGATGAAGATATGCCTCCAGCTGCTGAGTTTCCCTTTGACCAAATCCAAAGTGTTGGAACTTCCTCTACTAATCATGAAACCCGACAATCCATGGAAGACATGTTATCTGACATGAATCAGAGGATGCAATCATTCTTCACTCTTTCTGGAGTACGACATGAGGAAAGAATTCGTCGTATATCTGATGTAGATGATAAAGTGTGCCGTTTAGAAAATAGATTTGATGCATACTTTCATAGTGATGATAGTGAAGAATTTTAATTTTGTTGTTTATTTTCTCTTCTTGTGATGTAATGTATTGACATTTCTGAAATAAAATGTGATGTTTTTTTATTGCATTGATTGAGGGGGAGCTTTCTCTAAATTATGCATATTTTGAGGGGGAGCTCTTATGTTTGTAATGGATGAATTATTTTTGATTCTAATCAAAATAGGGGGAGAAAATATTTAAAGCCTAATTTGATTACTTTTAAATATTATCAGGTATGTTTAATGTGTTTGTTAGTATGACAGATAAAACAGGTTATTACAAGGCTTTAAAAGATAATTTTGATCATCATCAAAAAGGGGGAGATTGTTGAACATTCAAGGACTTGATGCTGCACTTGATAAACATGAAAATTGTTGATTTTGATGATGATTCAAGAACACAAAGACTTAGAGTGCTGAAGACTTGTTTTGTATTGTAATAACTATGTTTCAATTAGATTGAGTCTGTAATATTAGAGTTTAAGATAGTCAGTACATAGTCTGCACCTTATAAGCTTCAAAAAGCTCAAATTTATCATCCAGGCTCGACTTTAATCGATTAAATAGGGAAATAATCGATTAAAACGAGTGAGAAAAATCATTTTCGAAAAAACTCATCTGGTTTAATCGATTAAACCAACTTTTAATCGATTATCGAGCGGTTTAATCGATTAAACCACCTTTTAATCGATTAAAACAGAGAGGTTTGGGTTCTGTTGATATTTGGCTCTGTTTTAATCGATTAATACTTCTTTTAATCGATTATTTCGATCAGATTTTGATTTTTAACTTCAAATCAAACCTATTTTCGAAAACCCTTTTCCCAAGAACCCTAATTCGAAAATCCCAATTCCCAAACCCTAATTTCTCTACTTAAACTCTTCTATGGCACTCAGAAAAAAGAACAACCTTTTTCATACAAAAGTTAAGTGCTTGTGAGTGCCGGAGAACTGTTTGTTGCAAGAAAAAGGGGCTTTCGAACCTGGTGTGGGCTAGAAGCGATAAGAATCACTAAGTGGAGTTCTTAGTGGATTGTGTCGTTGTCTTGTCTCGGGGAAAGTTGTTCTTCATCTCTTGTGGATTTCAAGAGAGGTGTTATCTTTACTTTATCTCTTCCATTGTAACTTGTTTGTAATAACTTTGTTTATAGTGACAACGTTAATCCTCTGTTTGAGTGATTAGCAACTGGACGTAGGGTCTTTTGATCCGAACCAGTATAAATCTCCTGTGTAAGATTCTCTTCTCTTCTCTATTTATATTTACATAGTTTTTAATCGGTAAAATTTGGGGAAAATTTTGAAAACCTAATTTTTATTAAGAAACCAATTCACCCCCCCTCTTGATTTTTGTCCGACCATGCAAACATTCCGCTGCGTGATTCTAACATATTATGTATGCTTAAATTTGTACTTGGCCAGATCTAAGCTTTGCAGTTAGAATTTTGGAAGATATCAAAATAATCCAGGAATAGAACATTGAAAAACTGCAAAATAAAGTGTTAAGATACTTATAAGGAACAAATGATCACATACTTAGTATAGAATGTCTGATCATCTTGAGGTGATTGGATATTCATACTCTGATTTTGCTGGATGTGTGGATACAAGAAAATCCAATTTTGGTTGTGTATTTATTCTAGTGAAAGAAGCAATATCATGGAAAAGTGTAAAAAAATTTGTTGCATCTACGATAAAAGCTAATTTTGTAGCATATTTTAAGGCTACAATTCAGTTTAATTGGTTGTGAAACTTTACTTTAGGGCTTGAAATTGTCGACAATATTGTCAGATTGTTGAAAATGTATTGTGATAACTTTGTAATATTATTTTTCTTTAAAAATGAGAAGTATTCTAAAGGTGCTAAACATATGGAGTTAAAGTCTTTTCTTGTAAAGGAGAAAGTTAAAAAATAAAGAGTGTCAATAGAACATACTAGCACAAACCTTATAATAACTAACCCTTTAACAAAAGGATTACCGTCCAAAAAAATTATTGAGTATGTTGAACACATAGTTATTATTGTTAGAAATGATTATTGAATATTATTTTATTATGTATTAGATGATTGATATATTGAGCTCAATTATGATATGTTTCTAATTATATGTTTTCTATGATTGCATGGATAATTATGTTCATATTAAGAATTCTTATTTGTAGTACATGAAAGAAATTATGTCA